ATACATGATCACTTAAGCATGTATCACGCATGGCACATAACTGACTGACTGATTACTAATGATTTTACTATAGGAACGCATAGAAAATGAGGAAGAGAGGGATTGTCAGTGGTCAGGAATGAAGGCAAGCATTACTGAGGGAATAGAGTATGTATAATGTAAATACCCTTGGGAAAGGTATGAATCCTTTTCTCCTCCCCTCATCTAAGGGTAAATATCAGGACAGACCGGGTTCTATAACCTTGGATGGAAACTGGTCTACCGCAGAAAGAAATGGCAAACTACTGCGGGAAAAAAAACATCTGTTTCGTCAATCATGTATCGAAAGATACATGATCACCTAAGCGTCTATTAAGCATGGCACATAACTGACGGAAGTAGAAAATTGCAATGAAAATTCCATTTTAGCTAATGTGGGATAAAAAGTTTAATACTTATTCATTTCTGTCTATATTTCTGAGATGAGGTATTATGTACACTATTTACTATTCTATTCTATAAATTGTTCTAGTTCCACGTGCCACGTCCAATGAATGTCCCTTAAGGACACTTGGCACAGTGGATAAAGTAGTTGCGGGCGAGCGAAAAGGAAGGGAAAAAGAAAAGGAAAATAAAGAGGCCATGGGAAGAGGAAGAGGTGATATTTCTGAACAAAAGTTTTTAGTAACACCGTGATTCCCCACCTGATGAGACGTTTAAGAAAGGTTTTCCTTTTTTGACGTTGGAAAAAAATGTACAATTTTGTAGTGGATATGTGCAGGTTCTAATGTAACACTGCATAAGATTTATATATATATATATATATATATATATATATATATAAGAATTATAATGTAGTGGTTCCAACGAGAGAAAAGTATGTATATTAAAAAGAAGAGAAGAGAGGTGCCGCAAACGTTTTTGGTTGTAATGTGGATTTATTTAGAAAAAATATTATGCTTTGTTTTACATAATTTTACGACACGTGTTTCTGGTCTCGCGACCGTCTTCAGGTAAAAGTGGAGATTTCCACATATTATTAAAAATAATTAATTTTTCCTCATGTTCAATGTTAAATATTCTCGATATGAGACATTCTCTGTTTGTGTGTTGGTAATCCGAATTTCTTTCTTGAATTGGCAATGAAGAGTTCTGCGCGAAGGGTCATAAAACAATTAAGGTTGGTCCAGCGAAATGATAAATTAGTTATCGGCATTTTATCTTTTAATGTTTTACTGACCCCTATGTGTTCTTGGATCTGTTTCCATTTTGGTGCGTTTCTGTCAGCATGCGTGTATATATGCGTGCGTATATTTCCCCTCCATACATATACTGTCTTACTACGAGGAATTCGTAAACTTATTTGTACCTATACACGCATACACACACACTATATATATATATATATATATATATATATATATATATATATATATATATATATATCTCAAATAGCTACAAAGAAGCGTTTGGTTAGCACAGTCCGAACTACTGCTTATAAACACACAATCTTCGACTGGAATTGAACCTGTATTCCTATACGGAAACCGTCATTTGATCTGGAGTGCTGAACAATTTTAGCTATTGTTCTCGTATAGGAATATATGATCTATTTCTGTCGGAGAACGAATATTTTCTATAAAAATTCTCTAACATTCAGGCCAGTAAATGTAAATAAATTGTATGTATTAAAGTAACGTGATATGTCCCGGAAAGGGATATATTTGAACGAAGTAGCTAAGTGGTTTTGCCTACTATAACCAAGTAGAATACGGTAGCAGTAATTGGCGGGTATGCGACGTAGTCACAGGTAACAAGTGTAGATCCATGGCGTAGTTATAGACTTAGCTCTCAGATTAAGGCTCTGACTCTGTCGTAGCTACACGTCCTTCGGTATTTATGACGGACACCAGCCAATCATATTCCAGTGAGGGAGGACCACAGGTGTATGCATATTCCATTATATCATAACGTATAAACAGAAAATATATTAAATAATTGTCTGATTTAATTCATTTCATATATATATATATATATATATATATATATATATATATGTAATCTCGGGTGTAACAGCATAATTGTCCATCCCACAAAATGAATAAAAGAAAAACACTAAACTAATTGGGTTTTTTTTAATTTCCAGGTTTTTTTAGATAAAACACCATCTTGTAAGAATCACTGAAAACCCCTTTGAGTTACTCAGCTAGAAAGAGAACAGGTTAAAATCGTTTTGTGTCAGCCCCACTATGTCTTCCCAACTGAGTACTGGTGAGAGGAAAAAGATCATTCAGGTCTTAAAGTAATTGTACCAACATTCATACTCTGGCTTCCATCTTCAAAGACCATTCAAGAACCATCAATTGAACGGTGAATAAGTTTAAAAAAAGAGGGAAGAGTAGAGGAAAACAACAGGAAGAGGGATCATCATTTCACTTAGAGCTAAAGAGATCAATTAGAAAAGATCCAACACAATCTAGACGTTTGCTATGTGAAAGAGGAGTTTCAGCTATGGCAGTCTAAAGAGCAGTGAAATAAAGACTTGAAAATGAAATCATACGTGAAACGTGTGAGGCATCTTGTTACTCCAGGACAGAAAGTTAAAAGGTTAGAGAGGGGCAAAGATCATCGTGAATAAACTGGAAAAATCCTGGAATTAAATGTGTGTGTGTGTGTGTGAACTTTTTCAATTCTTCGTGAGCTTCCGATCTATAGGTATGATTAATAATGAACATGTTATTTTCGTTTCTTCTGTTAAGCTTGAAGAATAATTATACATTCTTATTGCTCAAAGTAGAGTCCAATAGTGTTATAAAAACCTCGAAGAATTCCAGTAATATATCTTTAATCGTTTCTAAAATACAACGGTTCAAATCTTAATCAAACAATTGGACAATTTTGCTGCTACATTAGGTGTTATATATATATATGTGTGTGTGTGTTGATCACTCTACAGTTTAGCTTTATTACTCGCCTGGGTTTTTTTCTTTGGACAAAAAACTTAAGGCACTGGACGATTTATTTCGTCCTGATCAAATGTTTTTAGTTCCTTTTTTTTTTTTTTTTTTTTTTCCTTTTTTTTTTCCAATTTTTTTTTCCTCGGGTACAAATTTGTTTTGATAAGCTTACGAGCGCTATCCGAGGCTTTTTTCAACCGAATATTACTAGTGTTATATATATATATATATATATATAAAAAAAAGAACAGTAAGATATAAAATCCGGTGTTCTTATAGATATTTTTATTTTTACAAAATAGTGCTCAATGTAAATTTACAGAGCATTAATATTATAAATTAATTGATTTAAAATGTTTTTTTCGCTACACAGTTCAACAATGTTTCAAAAATAGAAGCTAAAATCCCCGAATTTAATTTTGCAATTAAATTAAAAGCATTAGTTCATTTCATCTTCAAGCGAATTTTTTTTTTTTTTTTTTTTTTTTTTTTAAATTCGCTTGAAGATGAAATGGAACTAATGCTTTTAATTTAATTGCAAAATTAAATTCCAAATTTTAGCTTCTATTTTTGAAACATGGTTGAACTGTGTAGAAAAAAACATATTTTAAATCAATTTATAATATATATATATATATATATATATATATATAGATTAGAATCAAATCTTTAACACTTGTATCTGATTTAGCCCCCAAATGCAAAGGATGGCTTGGAATATGAGTCTTATTTAAAAAAAAAAAAAAAAAACGGATGTAATTCGTCAGCGTTGAAGACCCTCCACGATTTCTTTTCCTTTCCAGTTCTACATAAATTTCATCTATTTGTTATTTCTCCTAAACCCTGTTCCGCCATTCATTTACTCAAGTTCACTAAGTTCGTCATGAGTTGTCCCTTTTGCTTCCAATCTGCCCTGTGAGTATCAGTTTTTCCAACCCCTTTTGATAATATAAGAAATTATAATGTGGATATAAAGTGGGGGTTTAATTCTGTATTACAACCAATATATAAATTGAACCCTAACTTTGTGACCACTTATACTCGAGAAAATGTCAATAACTCTAAAAGACAAGCCTGTGTACCTAATCAGTAATGCATAGATTGATTGATTTCATTTTTTGCAGGTTATTTAAAGCCAGAAAATATTTTTAGATTGTAAAAACATTTTTTAAATAATAATGGTTTAATGATACAAATCTAACTAATTAACCGATATCTGGAGAAGAAGGGATGGATTCATAAATTTTACCAAATATATTAGCTCATAATTGGATATAATGAACCTAACTTTTGATCTCTGCTCTCTGGTTAAAAATTCTGAGCCATTATTGATTACACCATCTGCACATCCAAGCTTACAGTATCTAGTAATCCCAGGTGGTCACCTATCTAGGTACTGACCAAGCTTAACTTCGGTGATCATACTAGAACCGGTGATTCAACGGGATATGGCCGTAAGCCTCTACACATATACAGGTTGTTTTAAAGTTGCCTTTGTTAAAACTGGTAATTATTTAAAATCAGGCATCAATTCTATATTACAATCAATATACAAATTGATCCCTCAATTTGTGGCCACTATGGTTTCAATACATTTATATTCCAGAGAATGTAAATAAATCTAAAAGACAGGCCTGTGTAGCTAATCGGTATTTCATTGATTGATTCGTTTTCTATGGCTTATCAACAAACAAGAAATTTTATATGGATATAAAGTGGAGGATCAATTCTACATTAAATCAATATAAAAATTGATCCCTCAACTTGTGGCCAGAGTAATTTCTATATACTTATATTCGAGAGAATTAAATCTAAAAGACATGCCTGTGTAGTTAATCAATATTTCATTGATTGATTTTGTTTTCTACTGCTTAGATTTTTTTTTCCGTGGAGGTGATAATGATTTAACGATACAAATATTATTAATTAACCCATAGCTGGGGGAGAACAGGTAGATTAATAACCTTTCCCAAGCGTAAGTAGAATATAACGAACTCAACAGGAATTCGACTCTCCGATTAACAATTCTGAGCCATTATCCATTACACCACTTGTACATCCATGCTTACAGCACCTGGTATTCCCAAGCGATCACCCATCTAGGCACTGACCAGGATCGACGTTGCTTAACTTTGATGATTGTACGGGGACTGGTGTTTGGACGTGTTGTGGCCGTAAGCCTTTACGTGTGTTAGTAAAACTTTCAGGAATTTTTGTTCGATAAAAAGAAGTCTTATAAAAAATATTATTGAAAAAATGGCGAAGGGATTTTTTTTTTCTTATGGTATCGCTGGTAAACCCATTTTAAACTGGCCTTGTGTCACATTCGGTAACGACGGCGGCACATTAAAAAATCTATTTACGATATATACGTTTCTATTCGGATTAGCATGCTTATCCTAGTTTCGGTCGTCGTACTCTCCGGTCTTCTTCAGGTGTCTGTTGCCCTCGGTGAAGATCCACATAGCCTAGCGGACTAAAAAGCTTTGTTTAAGGAAAGACTATGTGGCACCCTCGCTGAGTTCAGACTCTGGGTCGATTTGTGTGGGTTATCCAACTTTGCCAAAAAGCCATCGTTAGGGGGCGCTCCTTAAGCCCATAAAAAGACTTTTTCTCTTCCTAACCCCCTTTTTACAGTTTCTTTAGCTCTGGTCTTCAGCTGTAGTCGCACATGGGCAAAGTGTCCTCCCCTACTGGAGAACTTCCTTTTCATGGTTTTTCTCTATTGATTTTTATGTACTCTGTCACATGCTTTGACGCATGCGCGCGCGCACATTTTTATCATAGCTAGTTTCATGTCTTTCCATTTTTGTCACCTGTAATTCGTTTGTTGATACATTGTTGTTTGCTTTATTACTTTTATATTTATTGGTTTCTGTTACTGATATTCTTTTTTTTTTTTTTTTAATTTGGGCTCACATTGAGTCCGCCAATATTTACTCGCCAAAGTGTTGATTACCGCAACATAATGGTGGCTAATATCTACCCAAATGTACGAGCATCGCGCCACAATCATACCAGATGTAGATGCTGCAGCAGGCAGACTGAATTCGTTTCCGCGCATGGGGTTCCACGCATTGCTTCCGTTTCATATACATTAAAAATATTTTAAAGAACACTTTTGCTGTCCAGTTAAAATATCTTAAATTCAAGCGACTTCTTTGTACAAATATTTAACAATTTCAAACGATTAATTTATTTTTTATGTCGCTATACTATAAAAAAATAATTCTGTAAATAAATTGTTTTTCAAATTCTGCTAATATTTAGCCTGTAACGCCAAAATTGAAGCTAAAAAAAACTTGAAAACGCATTTAAAATAATTAGTACATCTTTTTAGTATAATTTTGCTTTTATTTAAAAGATAGTAGCTTGTATAGAGGTGGTAGAATTTTCGGTGCGATTTTGGCTTGTTATCTACAAGGGAAATTTACTACACCGTACAAATTTTAATTTGGAATGGTATCTACATAGTAAAAATCCATCCATCCATATATATATATATATATATATATATAGGAAACAATACGTTAGGTAAATAATCTGGGTTCTTTAGTATTTTTATTTTAAAAAAAAAACAGTGCTCCATACAGAAGTAGAGCTTAAATTATAATTATTTTTTTCAAAAATGATTTCTTCGCTACATAAGAGTTCTCATGTTTCAAAAACGAGTACCGAAAACCTCAATATAATTATTAAAATTAAATTGAGTTAAAGTATTAAGCCCTGTAACTCAATTTGATTTTAATAATTATATTGAGGTTTTCGGCTCTCGTTTTTGAAACGTGAGTACTCTTATGTAGCGAAGGAAATTATATATATATATATATATATATATATATATATATATATATATAGTAAAGGTAATAAACCCATTGGTATATAATCCAAATGGATTCTAGTAATATAAATATTAAAGCTGATCCACAAAAAGAGCTTAATGTATTTATTATTACAGAGCAAAAATTAATACACAATAAAATCCAAAATCACTTCATATGAGGAATAAGCTTATTTCGACCGACGAAAGTATAATTCGTTAGTCTTATCAACGCCAGTTGAGATACATAACAAAGAAAATGTAATTAATTTTTTTTTCTTCTAGCGATAAACAGCATGTACATCGGCTAAAATGTCTACACTGTATAAATTTTAATTTAGAATGATATCTACATGGAGTTCCGACCAACCATAAGGTGGTCGAATGATGATGATGACGACATAGTAACATGGTGCTAATTTGGCTTTTTATCTACAAAGAAAAGGTAAGCCAAACTAACACCTGTTTTACTGAGTAGATATCGTTCCAAAATAAAATTTGTACGGTGCAGATATTTTTCCTTGTGGATAACGACCCAAAGTATCACCGAATTTTCTTTATCAGAACTTCGGGAATAAAACGTTTAGAAGGCGGATATTAGTAGTCGCTTGGAGAAATTTCGGCAGTGATAGTTTTGAAGTCTAGCCGTTCTAAGGGTAATAGTAATATTAAAAATAGGTCAGTATCAATCTACAGTTTTTTGTATTTTGTTTGTTTCTCAGCCCTAAATAGGACAGAAATATTATTAGTACATGACTTCTTAACTGCTTCTTCACGCATAGCTGGTTTCTAAGCGGTAGCGTCTCTGTTCGTCACTCTCGACGTCCCTTCTGCAGTGTAGCTCAGAGGTGTGAGCTTAAATCCTTTTAACCAAGCTCCGGAACTCTGGTGCGAATATTGATTTCGGCTAACATCAAAAGTCACTTTGCGTCAGTTTTTTTTTTTTTTTTTTTTTTTTGGGGCAGATTATTAAATTATACTAATTATTTTCCGGCATTCCTTTTTTTATTTTTTTTTTATTTTATTTTTTTCATAACTGAAATTATACGTGTAGTTTCCATCTTTATTTTTATTTATTTTTATTTTTTTTTACGTATATATTTATATATCTTCACTGGATTATTTCGGAGTTTTTTTGTTTTTTTTATATGATTTGATGATGTCATAAATATTGATAGTAGGTTAGATGTATACCGTATTTGACGGCATATAACACGCACCCCAAATACGTCCGGGAAACAAAAATTATTAAATATTAAAATTAGTAACATTATTAGTAAATGGTAAAGCCAAGGCTATATTTGAGGTATTATTTTAGTTAAACAAGCCATGATTACAAGTAAATAAAAAATAATAGGAAAAGAAAGAACATGAGCCTATAAAACCTTTATTATATCCAAAGGTAAGAAAAACAAAATAAAAATCAAGCAATTATTATAAGTGAGCAAAACAGTAAAGTTACCATGAAAATTTTATTCATCTTCAAATCCATAAAATTCGTCGTCTTCGTTATCAAAACTCTGAAATTCATTTTCAATACTACTATCATCGTCGTTAAATAATGCGTCATCTTCCGTTCCATTGAGAGCAATGCTAATACCACACTTTTTAAAAGATTTCACAATTTCTGGTCTAATATTATCCCAAGTTTGCTTCACCTATTCGCAGACTTGTGCAATGCTGTCTCTTTTTATTCTTCCTGTAAGTCTAAAGTCGCGATCAGGCATTGCCATCCATGTGTTCCATTGCTCCTTCATGTTTAAGTCTAAGCTAATAGGAGTTGCCAGGTAGCTAATTTCGGTCGACTATCGCGAATTTTAAACCTACACATGACATAGAAGACGCAGGGGAATTTTATGCCTTATATGCTGTCAAATACGGTAATTAAATTTAATTAGTATTGTTAAAATTTAAGCGCACGTGCTTATGTTTATACGCCTATGTATACACACACTTGCACATTAATTCCCGCGCGTATATAGATATATGTATGCGTACACCTGCGCATACAGGGACATGTACACTGATGTCTGTGCTTTGTTAATAATAAACTAGTGGGTAAATGGTTAAGTTATTTATTTTTACATATTTTTTTACACACATACACACACCCAAATATAGGATTGGTGTATACGGAATAAATTCTAATACCCAACAGATAATATTCTTAAAAGTCTACTTTATACAGAGTAGAGCAAATATAATTATTTATTCGAAAATTATAACATAAATATGATATAAAATCACTACAAAAATAGCCATTTTGTTTCAACACTTCTGGTGTCTTATCAAGTGATGGTGTTGAATGTAGAATAAAAAGCTTTTATTCTGCATTCAACAACATCATCATTGATTTTATATATATATATATATATATATATATATATATATATATATACACACACTATCGTGCATTGTCTGCACACACGCACATGTATGTAATTATAATAAGTGTACGCTTGTATCATATGTTATCGTTTCTTAAATGTTTCATTTTTATTTTGGTTTATAATTAATGGTTAGTAGCTTATTTGTTTTTTGCCTTCGTTATATATTGAGGTATTAATTATAGGGGGTAGATTTCTTCATTTTGTGTGTGTGTGTATATATATATATATATATATATATACACACACACACACACGTATATGTGTAATATTTGTTCGTTTATTTGTTTATTAATAAATTAGGTTTATATTTGTTCTTATATTTATTTAAATTTTGTATGATATTTTTTTTATTTCATTTATTTAGAGATTAAATTATTTATTTTTAATTAGTGTTTAGATGGCAAATTAAATATTTATATGCCTACCTTTATCTATTATTTCAGTTTTCTTGTTTAAGATTTTATTTTGGTTTTTAAAATGTAATTATTGCTAATTTTTCTTCTAAGCATAATTTAAAATTCTTACTGTTAATATTGTATGGGGCTGCATTTTTTATAATTTCCAATTTGATTTTTGTGTTAATTTTATTTCCTTTTTTTGGCACCGTATGTATTTTGATAGGGGTATATTTTTTTTTTCTTTCGAAAGATATTTTGTGGTTATCTTTCTTTTTAAATATTTTTCCGTGTCCCCTAGGTAACTTTTTATTTCGGCTGTGTTAATGTTATTATTTACGATGGCTTTATATATTATGTTATTGGTTAAACATTTATTATGAAGTGGACAATTTTTTTATTTCTGTAGCTACATTTAATGTTGTTACTTTGCGGGTTTGTTTTTATTGATGTAATTGCTATTGGTTTTGTTGAGTGTGTGTGTGTGTATATATATATATATATATATATATATATATATATATATATATATATATATATATATAGTAATCCGTTGGTATAATCTAGGCCAGT